GGGAGGAGGGTAGAGAGAATAGTGCAACAATGAATGGGTGGAAGCCCAAAATCTCTGTAAATGTTTATGAAAATTAATAAAATATAATTATAGAAAAAAAAAGAATGGTTGTAATCAATGAATATTTACCTTTGGTACTATGTTAAGACTATTATGCTTAAGAACACATTGAAAAATAAGCCAAAGAACCACAGTATATCTTATATTTAACTTTTGTAAACTGTTTTGTGGGTAACTTTTCAGTTTTCACAACCAACTAATACATTTCAATATTTTGAATACATCAGTGTTAATTTTGATTTTCAGAGGGTAACCTAACAAACTACTATTATGTTTTGTTTTAAGGAATATAAATTTCAATAAAGCTACTAAAATGCAAAAAAAAAAATCTTTCATTGTTGCATAAGCATTGAAACAGAATTAGAACTTGAATTTTTTTTCCCACTCACCTGCAACAAGTAACAATCAGGGCAATGCCAAGGATAAGCAAAAGTCCACCTCCTGCAGCTGCAATCACCACCGTGATGAGCTGATAGGCTAAACGTCAGAAGAACAAAAAATTAAAGATGTAGACTGGCAGGAAGCAATGATGTAATACACAAGGGTGATTCCTCCAACACACACACACACACACACACACACACACACACACACACGCGCGCTACCCTGCCTCAGCTGGTGACTTCCCTTACTTAGCTTCCACTTTCTGGGCATATTGTTTTTTCTAGGTGCTACTGAGTCAATATCAACTCATAGTGACCCCTGTGATAGAACAGAACTGCCCCAGGGAGTTTTAAATGTTCAGATCTGTGGCTTACAGATTCGCTATGAGCCTCAACGATAACTAACAACAGCAATCTTTACTGAAGGAGCTGGGTAGTATAATGGTTAAGCATTTCACTGACCAAAAGGTTGGCAGTTCAAACCCACTAGCTTCTCTGTGGGAGGAAGATGTGGCAGTTGGCTTCCATAAAGATCACAGCCCTGGAAAACCTAGGAGGTTGTTCTCCTATCTGCAGGCTGCTGCGATGCATCCTAATGGACTAGACAGCAGTGAGTAAATGTTATAGGGCAGACGGTCAAGTGTTCCTTCTGCAGAGCCACTGGCTGGTTCAAATCTTGTCACTGTGCCAACAGGGCTCCCTATCTGGACGCATGGTCACTAGTAGATACTGATTTCTTGTGGAGATATCATTATAGTTGGTTCCCAGATTAAGGAGCGGGGACTACAATGCCATATTAAATCTTTCTCTCCACTAGGAGGAACAGAAGCAGAAGGAACAAAATGGGAAATGGAAGGGAGAAAGCTTTGGAGTCCTCTGGGAAATTGCCATGGTGAAGGACTGGAGACAGTGTATGTAACAGCCTTGAGAAAGGCAATTTAAAAAAAAAAGAAAATACTGAGAGCAGCAATTCTAAAGAAAAGATGATGGCAGACAGTGGGATGTAAAAGGCTTTCCTTTACAATTGCAATCCCATCTCCTTGCTTCCTTTTCAGGACGTGATAAGGTGAGGTGAATCAAAACTGAACGAGCTGTTTGCTTTCAGATGAATGGCCAGCTGATATCTGGAGAACCAACTGTCCTTCCTCACAAGCAGCTTAGTTCAGTTTGTGTTCTAAGTGACTCCTGCCAGCACCAAGTATGCCCACTGATGTGAATCTCTTTTTATTGTAATCTGAATGAACGTTTACAAAGTGTACTGGATTCTTCTGTAACTCATTCATTCACATTTTGTTGCATAACATTAATTTCAATACCCCCAATGTCTGCTCATCCGTTCATCCACATGGTCTTTTCCTTCACCCATCTCACTAAGCATTCATTATCTTTTTTTGAGGGAAGGAAGTCAAAGGTTTTAATCTAAGTTAGTAGCAGAATACAGGCAGAACAGCATCCAAAATGTACTCATAGGCGTCTTAGCCCCAAACCTTGCAGCTTGAGACCCTTGGTACAAAGATCTCAGTGCTTCCAATACTGCCTCTCCCTCCCAGTACTCCAACAAACACGGGCAAAAGGCTCTTCACTCTGGTCCAATGGGCTAGCAGCCCCCAGATCCACTGCATTTCGTGTCAGGTCTCTGGTTCTCTGCTACTACTCCTGAAAGCCATGGTCATACTGAGGCAAGAATCCCTGGTCTTTAAGGACACGGTGCATTCTCCTCCTTCTTTACTGGCAGTGAATGTCTTCCTTCATTATCGATTAATTTCCTATTCCCCTCATTCCCTCTCCCCTCCTTGTTAATGATACAGTACAGAAATGAATTTGTGGTAAACCTGTCTTTAGCTTTTCTAACAGTGATCTTCCACAATATTTGTCCTTTGGTGACTAACTTATGTCACTCAGCCTCTATACCCGCTCTGGTTGCCTAGTGTTAAGAAGTCATATTGACAACCCAAAGCTTTGACTCTACCAGCTGCTCTGTGAAAGATGTGCCGTCTCTTAGGGAGCTCTGGTGGCTTAGTGGCAAGACGCTGCACTGCAATCCCAGAGGTACGCGGTTCAAATCCACCAGATGCTCTGCTGGAGAAGGAGGGGGCAATCTCCTCCTGTACCAGTCAGATCTGATTTGACGGTACACGTAAAAAATAATACAATAAAAAATTTTTTTTAAAAAAAGATGTGCCATCTCCTCCTGTGCAATTTACAGCCTCTGAAAACCCACTCAAGGGTCGGCTATAAGTTGGTTCTGACTTGATGGCACAGAACAATGACTCTAAGATTCACCTATATTATGCAGTGATTCACAAATCATTCCTTGTTTATCAACGTGGCTTAGTCCTCCACTTCCACTGTGTGAATGGACTATGGCTCCATCCGCTCCTTGATGGGCACTTGGATTCTTTCCAGCTCTTTGCTGTTGTGAATAAACATGAATGTGCTTATTCATGTGAATCTTTCTAAAACCCAACTGTAACAACAGGGTGAATACAGTGAAATATAATTTATACACCTGCCTCCAGAATGGGTTGGAGTGGGAGGACAGGGCACAAATACTGTGAAGTAGAATACTGGTGTCTCACTGGAAGAACGCCATAAATGAAGAGGAAGGGCACCGCAGGGAAATGAGGAAGGCGCCTTCCCAGTTAAGGATGGTTGTCAACTTGGCTTCCTGTTTGGGCAGCAAGACCATAGTTTCTGTGGTTTGGCAGTTAGGATGTTATCATTCCCTTGATAACAGCTGATATAATAAGTCCCTTAGAGGGGTAATCATCTTCATTTGAAGATCTGCTAAGATCCATTAAAGGTGTGTCCTACGTCAAATAAATAGTAATGTCTAGCAAAGCTCTCTTGTTTCGGCTTGATCTGGATCTTACCCCTGCATGTCACCTCCAGTTATTGGACTGGAATGAGTGATCTGTCCTGCCAACTGACCTTGGAGTCACTATATGAGTCAGAAGACTACCTCTTTTCCTCAGGGGAAGTCTCTTTAATGAGGCTCATGGCCGCAGGACTTGATAGAGTACACGTGTATGATCCATTTTCTTGAGATAAACCTCTTTTCCTTTCTCTTTATAAACCTTTTGCTTTTTGGGAAAAACTAGACTAAGGGAAGGTCCATAAGTGGGGAAGAAGAGGACTATAAATAAGGCAGAATAGAGTCATAAATGGAGAAGATTCAATAAAAACTCAATCCATTGCCATCTAATAGGTGTTGACTCATAGCTGACCCTCCATGGTGTTTCTGAGACTGTAAATCACAAAGGAGGAAATTGTCCATCTTTCTTCCCTGGAGACACTGCTGGACTGGAGCTGCCAGAAGACTCAGCCAACTTCCTATGGACTATGTCATCAGAGCTTCCTAAAGCAGGAGGAAGAAGACAATACACAGGGAGGAAGAGGACCATAAATGAGAAGGTGGTTGTTTTATACCACCAAGTAAGAACCGACTGACTCTCCAGTGGGTTTTCAGAGGCAGCGCGTGGCACAGGGGGAGCAGCTGGTAGATTTGAACCTCATGTCTTCAGGATTGCAGCTCAGCTTCTTACCATCAGGCTACCAGAGAGGAGGGGAGGCTCTAAAATTCTCTGGCTGTGCAGGGAGACTGGGAGGAAAGAGGGCGCCTCTGAAAGGACGTTGAGCCACTAAATGAAAGGCTGACCCACACAGAGGGTGTGGTGCGAATATTAAAGATGGATGGATAAATGTACCCAAGGCCAGGTACAGGGAATCTGGAAAAATTACGTGAGTCTATAATTACAAAGTAACAACCATAAACCAGCTTAGAGGATGGCAATTTTAAAAAAGCTTTTCAAAAGGTCACAAGTATGGAATGTTTAAATAAATGATGGTAAATCCATAGAATAGTATTCCACAGAACCATAAAAAGTGACAATCTAAAGTCTTATGCATGAAAACACCCCATAGTTGATTAGTTTGGAAAACAGGTGACAAAAGTAGTTCATTCTGTGAGTTTGGTCATATAATTTCTAACTAAAACACAACCATGTCCATATTTCTAAAGTGATATATACCAACGTCAACAGAAACGTGCCAGCATCAACTGGCAGCTCCAAGCCACCCGAGACGTCACAGGATGCTGACTTGGCAGGCTGCTTCCAGGAAGGCTCCAGTGACGGGAGCCTTGTGAGGCAGTTCTCTTGTGTCTCCTATGGTCACTATGACTTGGAATCGACTCAATGGCAGTGAGTTTTGGTTTCTGTTAACACTGCCTAATCATTAACGCTGAAATGGTTTAGACTGAAGTGGAAACCCTTACAGTCTGGTGCCCATATACTTCACCAACCCAGTCCTTCACTTCCCCCACTGTCCTTCCTTCTACACTCTGGCTGGGGGAGCTCTGGGGACACAGTCCATAAGGAAATAGGTTGCTGACTCCCAGGCAGTGTCTCTCTGGTGGTTTCAATCCACAAGGGGCTCCTTGGGAAAAAGATGAGCAAACTCTTCCCCGTGTGACTTATAGCCTTGGGGGAGGGGGGAATCCTAGGGGAGCATCTGCTATGAGTCAGTCCCAACTCGATGGCAATGAGCTTTTGAGATACTCCAGCCACGTCCTTCCACGTACTGTCCCCAGAACACCACCTGCCCATACCTGCTTCAACAGTGTTATTTAACTGAACTCCCTCTATCTGAGCTTTTTACCCCCTGTATGCCTACTCATATTTCATATCTGATTTATTAAATTAACACTCAGGGAAGCATTAGAAGGGTCAGGACTATTTAGCAATGTGTTTATCTCCCCAGTCAGATCTGAAGCCTCTAAAGAGGCTTAAAAGTCAAGTCTTTGGGTTTTGTTTTCCTTATGCCAACCAGCACCTAGGGCTCTAGAAGTTTCTATACTCACGGTTTCCACAGTTGAGACCACCAAGGCCGAAGGGGCAGCTGCAAGCCAACAACACAAAAGGGAACAAGAATGAGTTTCAAATCTCAAAAGAAATGATGCCATTAACCCAAGACGTGTCTAAATAACATCTGCAACAAACTCATCAGAGTAGACAAACAGGGAGCCTACCTCATACAGGTTTTGTTTTCAAGCCTGTACCCATCTTCACAAGCTGAAAGAGAAGAGAAAAATCCATGATTGGTCAGCCTACCTCCTTCTGCCCAAACTTCCGGTTAATAAAAAGACATTACTCTTAAATCTACAAGAATACGCTAGACTCAGAAGGCAAAAATATTACTGCCAGCTCCATTCTTTATCAAGAAATCTTCCTTAACTTCTTTGCCATTCTCAGTTTCCCATCTGGCCTAGCAGTAAGATCATAAGGGGATTTACTGACATAAATTATGCAAACAACTTAGTGCAGTGCCTGACACACAGTAACCATGAACTAAATGTCTGAAGTTGTAATTATTGTTATGTGCCATCCAGTTGGAACTGACTCACGGCTGGCCCTCCAGCAAGTTTTCAGAGAGTATAGATCGCATGAGAGAAAATTAGCCTTCTTTCTTCCACAGAGCAGCTGGTAGATTTGAACCGCATGCCTTTGGGTTGGCAGAGTAACTCCTTATCCACTAAGCCACCAGAGCTCCCTTGAAGTTGTAAATGCTGTTGTATACCATTGAGTCAGAAGTGACTCACAGCTGACCTCCAGTGGGTTTTCAGAAGCGATAAAGTCCACAGGAGGACACTGCCCAGCTTTCTCCAATGTGGATTTGAATTGTGTACCTTTGGAATTGCAGCACAACTTCTTACCACTAGGCTATCAGAAAACTTTTGAAGTCATAATTAGCAACCAGTTGAAATAACCTTTCTTTGTGAGTAGAAGTCGAGTGCCCTGGGGTAAGGAGTACTAGGCGCGGACCGCCAGTCCCCTCCCACTGCACTGCTCTCCTCCTGGTAGGTCAGGGGTGTAGGTGCAGGAGGAGCCCTTTGGGTACCTGGTCTCCATCAGCTCAGGCACTGCCCATTTCTCTGGTGACTCAAGCCCGCCCAGCTCAGCTCTGTGGTAGGCTATTCTATTCAGCACACTGTTCTACCGGGAACACTTCCTCTTGGGACCGCTTCTGCATAATGTCTTATCTGCCCAGAGCGTGTTCTCCCCTCCTTGGCTATCATCCAGCCAGGCACCAGGTCCATCTGCGGTCTGGTCTGGGAGTGGGCATTTTCCTTTAGTTCCAGATGTGGCCTGACACCCTGGTGTGAGGATATTTATTTATTTCAAATGTGTTCAGGTTCATTTAGTCATTCAGAAATGGTAGAGTGCTACAGCTTGCCTGGCCCTGCTCTGTGAGCTCTCTGAGGGGGAACGCCAGCTCCATACCACGGAGCTCTGATACCCACAGAAATGGATGTGCAAAAGCCAGCAGATCTACCCAAAGTGTGCTTCCATGACTGATATGGCCACAAACAAATTCATACTTTCTGTCCTTAAAAAAAAAACAAACAAACTAAAAACCCTGGTCTCCTTGTAGGCTAGCTGTCCCAGGAAACTAAACCAAAACCCTTAGTCAATCTGTTCCTATCATCTGCGCTGCCTTGTCCTTCGTTCATTCACTGGACTAATATCTGTTGGATCCTTCAAGGAGCTAAGCCCTATTCTTGATGCAGCTGAGGCTCTGCAGTACTTCCAGCTAATGAGAGAAAGAGACACACAAAGAGCCCGCTAGGATCTATCATGATGCCTGCAGGATGGAAGGAAGCAACGAGAAGCCTATGGGAAACGTGAATTTTATATGAAGCTTTGACAGCATGGTGAAGACATCATAAAGACATTCGCCGAGACATTAGGGAGCACGTGTCTGTATAAAACGTTATAAAGCCTTCCACTAAATAGCAGTGAATTGTGGTGTTTGAAAACAAGCATACACAGTCCCCTTGACTTGTTGAAAGGGAGAGTGGTTTTTATGTGCCCTGGTGTTTCATGCATCATTGACCAGAAGGTGTCACTGCTAACCCGGCAGAGCCCAGCTGACGGACTGACTCACTATCAGAGACCTAATCACTGGGGGCGGGAGCTGTGGGGGCTGAGTCCAGGGGGATTTGTGCTGCTTGCCCAGAGGCTGTGCCTCTCTGGTGGTCTGAATCCACTAGTGCCTCCTCAGGAGAAAGATGGGCAATCTTCGCCCGGGTGATTTCCAGCCCCGTATACCCAATGGAAGGTCACCTAAGAACTGATTCCAACAAATAGCTGGAGTCACTGCAGACTGGAAATCTAACTAATAAGGTTATGCTAAAAGCAGCTCCCTGAGACCCCAGGAACAAGCCCCGAGGCTGGCCAAGGTTTCCTTATGTTGCATTTGGGTCATTACTTGATAAGCAGGAGGTTGTGAGTGCCTGTGTCATTTGCCCTTGGTACATTTTGCCAGTTCTGCTCCCACTAACGCTAGCCTGTAGGTGAGATCACAACAAAGCAGAATTAGGAATGGAAAGGAGCACAGGCAACAAGCAGTGGTGGCTCAGTGGTTCTGCTTCTCTAAGGAAGATTTTAACCTAAAGATGGCCAACATACCTCTAACACGGCCACTACCTATTGATTCCTGTGATGACTACCTATCTTTCGTGGAGCCTTGCAGGTTGCTGTGAGGCTGAGCAGATTTCAACAGAGCTTCTGGAGTATGAAAGACTAGGAAGAAAGGCCTGGCAGTCTATTTCTGAAGAACCACCAATAAAAGCCCCTCGGGAGCACAAAAGTCAATTCATAACTAAAGACGAGGATGGCACAGGGCGGGGTATCATACCAGTTCACTGTGCACAGGCAGCCAGGAGTCAAAGGCTGATTCAAAGGCAGAAAATGACAGAAAATAACAGTAGCTCAGGGCAGCCAGAACACAGATGGCAGGGTTGTTCTGAAAACCACCCAAAACTGCAGAGGAAATGCTTAAAGAGAGCATAGCTCCTGCACCTCCCCATTCTGGCGGTCAGTCCCTTCCTTCCGGCCAGCTCCACAGCGCCCCACACCCACGGATCTCAGCAGAGGTCACCTTCCACATGAAATAAAACTCAAATCCCCAGTTTCTAAGAATGGCAAGAAACATTTTGCATTAAACCAGATAAAAGGGGATTAGGAAGCATTATTGCCTTGTGATAAAGCCAGGAGCTCCTCCCCCCAGCCCTGCACATGCACAGTGTGTCCATCCAGAGCAAGGTCACAGCAGGCCCTCGGCAGCCTGGCACGCTGCGGAGAATCCCAGGGAGTCAGTCACATGCCAGGACTGGCGCCCAACACCAGTATGCCCTCCTCTTGACAGCCCGTCCAGGTCCTGCATGGAGGGCGGAGGCTATGCAGCCTTTGAAAGAACTCTGTATGTGAGCTCAACGCTGCCAGAGGGTCGGAAGCTCAGAATGAGGCTGCTGCCCTCAGAGGTATTTTTATCCTCCCCTGACGGAAGGAGCCCTCTGAAGGGAAGTCCTGACAGAAATAAGTGGCATGTCACCTTTCCCTGGTATGTAATTTCACTCACATCCAAGTGCATCTGTCACCAGCAAGGTGTTGATGGAGCAGTCTGACGTGACACAATGCTTAAGACTGTAATGTGGGCTTTATTGTGTCAGCTTTTCAGGTGGTCATAGGCCTTTTATAAATCAGGGTTCTCAGTGCTCCGGATTAGAATGAACTTTATTTTGAGTCAGTCTTCCTGGGTGGTGCAAGTGGTTAGCTGCTAATCAAAAGGTTGGAGGTTTGAATCCACCCAGAGGTGCTAGGAAGAAGCAAGTGGTGGAAATAAATTTCTGAAAATACACTGTCCATTGAGAAAGCTGTGTTCTACTGTGACACACAGGGAGTCAAGTCTTAAAATGGATTCCTCACAACTGGTTTGATTTTATTCTTGCACTGTACTCACAGGTCAGTCTTTACATCAAACAGAATATATTTAAGCCTCTGGTGGCCTAGTGGTGAGGAGCTGTGCTGCAATCCCAAAGGCATGTGGTTCAAATCTACCAGCTCTTCCATGGGAGAAACACAGGCAATCTCCTTCCATGTAATTAAACTGCCTTTGTGAACCCCACTGGAGGGCCAGTCATGAGTCAGTTCTAACTCGACAGTACACAACACACAGTGACATAAAAAAATTTAGCCAGATTTGATTTCAGCTCTTAAACACTTAATATCTCTGTTACTTAAACAGCAACCTGGGTAAAATACAAAAGCTGAAAGCTCATCTTGCTTTACTTAAACTCAGAGTATTATTATACCCATTTCACAGAAGAAGAAATGGAGGCACAGAAGTTAAGCAACTTATGCAAGATGATACACAACCAACAAGACAGCACTGGGCTCTGGCTTAGGTCTTAGGTCTTTAAACTTTGGTCGAGTCCTCTCTCTAAGGAGCCACAGCTGCTTCTAAAAGATATGAGGCTGGCTTCTTACTTTACCCTCATTTTAAAGATGAGCAGACAAGGGAATAAAGATTTCGTACTAAAACAATAATTTCTTTAATTTCCTCTTAGGTGAAAACTTTTTGTTTTTTTAAAAAAGGCAAGGTACAGCAAGGATGTCATTCCATTTTTTTCTTCTTCTTTGATATGTCAGACCAGCAAGAACTAGTCAGAGAGATAAAGTTATGATTCCAAGGAGATAATGTATCCAGTCCTGCTGGGAACAAAAGAACAAGAACTCGTTTCCCCTACTTTAGAACAGTGGCACCCGTAGCAGAGACACAGAGAGAGGAAGAATGAGAGGAAAAGTACTTTGAGTCTGGAGAAAAGCCTCCGCCCCCGTCCTGGGCACAGACCCGCAGCGAACCAATGAGCCAGTACCTCGGCAAGAGTGGTCCAGCTTGTTGAAGTGGAAGTAGCCAGACTTGCACTGGCACAGAGCAACACCGTCCAGGTCAGTGCAGATGGAGGTCTCTCTGTCACATTCGGGACTCTTCCGCTTGCACAAGCTTCCCGCTGGAACAGAAAAACAAGAGGGTGAAGCAAAACTGCCTCCGCTTCAAACCTTAAGATGCATGAACTTTCAAGTCAGAGAGACTCCTGAGTACAACTTTCAGAAAAATCTTTGTGATGCAAAAACTTTCCCAGATCCACTCTGCACTGGCCTCTGCCACGCCTTCCCTGTATCAGCACGGACTTCCTAAAAGCTGACAACATTTTTCTCCTTGAAACACCCTCACTGCAAATTACTGATATAGTCGCAAAGCAAGTAGGGAAGCAGCAAAAAGCCCTGTTGTCTCCTCCAGCTTCCACTGCTGACACACGGCTCTGAGGTGTGCGGTGCATGGTGTCCTCTGGGACAAGGCCAAGAAAGACCACCTGCTTCTCCAGGACTGCGAGGTGGTTCTGGGTGTCTGTCCATCTTTCCCTGGACTAAAAGTTCCGGGAAGCTTATTCTACTTGTAGTCTCCGGCACGTTGCAGAGATACTGGCCCACAGAGTGCTGAGAGCCGAAGTGCTGAATGGTGCTTTCAGACCAACAGTCTCGGGGCCATCCACAGGAGAGATGAGAGGTGGGCAGAGCAGCGGCTGCATCTTGCAGGCTTGGCTGGGCCATATTTCTTACCAGCCTGTCCACTGGCTCTGTCCTGCCATAGGCATGCCGGCCAACTTGTCTTCCTACATCACACAGATTCACTTTATTAGTCTCAGAGATTGTTGGGCATGTGGCACTCTGGGAGGCTGTATACAGAGGATACAATTAGGATGGACCTAGAGATCTGACAAAAAGGACATCGGTGTAAAGGCTACAAAGGCAGCATAAGAAAAACAGGAAACCAAGGGGACAGTGAACAGTAACGTGTTTATCCCACGTATAACCCAAGCGAGATGGACGTTTGACGTTGTTGGGAAGCAAGAGTGAGTTGAGAATGGGAAGAGAGGCTGAGCAGGACAGCATACACTGTGCTAGGAGGCAGGGCAGCGTGCACACGGAGCTAGGAGGGAGGGCAGCATGCACACCGTGCTAGGAGGGAGGGCAGCGTGTACACCGTGCTAGGAGGCAGGGCAGCATGCACACCGTGCTAGGAGGCAGGGCAGCGTGCACACGGAGCTAGGAGGGAGGGCAATGTACACACTATCATAGGAGGAAAGGCATCCGATCTCCCAGGTACAATCTACCCATCTTAAGAAAGACACCAAACCGGTGAGCTCTGGTGGCCCAGTGGCAAAAAACTGCACTGCAATCCAAGCAAGAGGTGAGCAGTTCAAATCCACCAGATGCTCTGCTGGAGAAGGAGGGACAATCTTTTCCCGTACCAGGTCAGATCTGATTTGACGATACACACACGCTAAAAAAAATTTTTTTTAAAAAAAGAAAGGTGCCAAACCTACTCAGAAAACAGTCACCAGCTTTGATGCTTAATTCTGTGTGGTTACACAGGGCGCTCTAGTGGCCTCAGGGTAAGCAGTTGTGTTGTTAACCCAAAGGTTCTTGGCTCAAATCCACCAGCTGCTCAGAGGGAGAAATATGGCCAATCTCCTCTTTTGTGAGTTACAGATTCTGAAAAGCCGCTGGAGGGTCAGCCATAAGTTGGTTCCAACTTGATGGAACATAACAACAGCCACAGTTCATTTGATTCAACACTATTTTAGATGTTCCTTTGAAAGTGTTTCGATGTGAGTAACGCTTATAGGGAGTTGACTTTGGAGAAAGTAGATTATCCATGGTGTGGGTGGGCCGTTTTCCAATCAGTTGAAGGTCTGAAGAGCAAAAATGAAAGTTTCCCAAAGAAGTGAGGGATTATGTCTCAAGACTCTCCATCATAGAAAGAAATACTGCTGCATTTTCAGACCAGTGGCCTGCCCTATGAACTTTGAATTTGTTAGTTACACAACTATATGAATCAAATTTTTAAAATCAAACAATACACCCAATCAACCACTCTGTATATATTGAGACAGAGGATCTAGGGAGTTCTAGGGGTGTAGCTCACAGGGAGTTGTGCTATTAACTCCAAGACGGTGCTTCTCTGACAGTTTGTACCCATGAGGAGCTCTCTCCTCCTGTGCGATTTACAGCCTCTGAAAACTTGCTGAAGGGTCAGCTATAAATCAGTTCCAACTTGATAGAAATGAGTTGAGTTGTTGAGCATACAAAGGATCTATCTATCCATCCATCCATCCATTCATCCATCCTAACGGCTGTTTCTCGAGGGGACCCTGACTGATACCTAGATCTCCACACTTTGGAAAATCGTCCCCAGCAGGCAGGCTCAGGAGACGTGAACTGATGCCAGGCCTCGTGCTACACAAGGTTCCCATCCGACCCCTCCCCCTTCCCTCCCCGCCCTTCCCCCCCCCCAAGACCCCTTTGTCGGCCCTGAGAGCTTGGGTTGGGCTGGCAGCCTGTTCACAGGGAGGTGAGTTTAGGCCACAATTATAGTTCTCAGCACTGCGTTTCCTGTCTTTATCAGTGGAAATCGGTGTGCTAAATCAAAACCCCATTCGTATGTGTGACAATTTCCTTTGTTTCTTGTGAAAAGTTTGTATTTAAAGGGGGAAAACTGGAAAAGGAAAACCTCACTAGGCAAACACAGAGAAGCTGGCACCAGAGAGAGACTGGACCTCCACAACCCCCATCTGACCTCTCCAAAGGCTCTGCCCACTTCAGGCTTCAGTATAAATGGACATTAGAGCAAAAACCTCTAATCCCTTCTAGGCCAGTCACCACCTTATCCAACAGGCAGCTGAGCCACTGGCTTGGTTGGTGATTTTCTGGAAGGTGATGCATCATTTTCTCTCTGTGCTATTAATCCAGCAGGCTGGCAGATGCTCACCACCCTGCAGAATCCATCTTCCTTTGCATAGGAGAGGTCTCCCGTGAGGCCTCTCCCAGCAGGGAGAGCTGGCTTGCCTCCCCAGCAGAGGAGCTGCCCTGCTGAAAATTCTTAAGGAATATCCCCATCATAAATCCATCAAATGGAACCAAGTACAAGCTCGTTCTCATTTTAAGTCAGCTGATGTGATTTCTCTGCATCCACAATTCCCATACTCTTTCCTGAGTACAACATCCGCCAAAAGGTCAGACAGCAAGTACTTATATAAATCTAAGGCTGAGACACTCCACTGGGGATTTCCAGACTCCAGATCTCTGGTGATGATCAGGGCTGTGTGCTCTGAAAGGCAAGGAAGTAGATGTTTTGTGAATTGAAGGGGGAAGAAAATCTGCTTTTCCGCTGGCATTTCCAGAGTGGCCCAGTATAGCCCATGCATTACAACATGACAGCTTGTATTAGATTCATCTCTCCACCTTCTAAAGGTTAGCAAGAGACTAAATGGGCTTACTGGTAAAACCTGTGCAAGAACAAGGCTTCGCAACAAAATAGGAAAGGCACCTCATACAGCCAAGAAGGCAGGCAGGCTATCTTTGTACTCCAGGGCTCCAAAGGAGAGGTAAAATATAGGGAACTGAAATCTTGAGAAAGGAAGACAGACATTTCCCCACTAAATCATAGCCAAGCGGTCAGAGAATGGTGGTGGGTTAAAGAATGGTAGCACTTGTTCTGGGCAAGATCTTTCATAACCAAACATCTATAAATGCACTAAAATGAGAGACCCCCTGACAAAAATGTAACCTGGACACACAGAAAGGACTTTGAGGCCTTAGCAAGTGCAAACAGTTAACACAAATGACCACTAACTGAAAAGCTAGAAGTTTGAGCGCTTCATAAATATGTAGTAAACTAAAACTTGCTCAGCATTTCTTAAGCTGAAAGAAATAAAGAATACATTCAAGCCATGAGTTGCAATGCTTAAGAATGCTATGGGCAGAATACGGAATGATTCAGGAAACATTCAAAAGAAGGTGGAAGGAATATACAGAGTGATTTTACCAAAAAGAAATGGCTGAAACAGAAGAATTTTAAGAAACATATGATCAAGAGGCAATGGTGATAAAAGAGGAAGTGCAGGCTGCTCTGAAGGACTTGGCAAAACATAAAGCCCCAGGAATTGATGGAATACCAATTGATGTACTGCAGCATACAGATGGCTGCCCTTCATGTGCTCACCAAGTTGTGCCAAGAAATCTGGGAGACATCTACTTGGCTAGCTGACTGGAAGAGATCTATATTTATTCCCATTCCAAAAAAAGGTGACCTGACAGAGTGTGGAAATTATTGAACAGTATCCATCACTAAGTGTTGAGGACTCTATAAATATCTTTATCTATCTATATATCAATTTCTATCTATATCAAGCATTGAGGACCCTCCTTCATAGGGTCGCTATGAGTTGCCTCCAACTCGCTGGCACTTAACAACAATAACATCAAGATAGAGAGAGATCCCAGTGGACAGAAAGATGCTACCAAGCCAAAGGTGGGTGACTTTTAATCAGCGGCCCTCGGGCCTCTCTTTCATTGTTTTTGTTCAAATATTCCTCTAGGTCGTATAGCCCTGGTGTACAAGCTGCCGTACAGCAGTAACTTGTGGTTGCTGTGAGGCTGAACTCTGTGACACTGATGTGTCAAATGCGTTAATGGCTGGTTACCCAATGTGGACAGTATGGGCTGGAGCTCCTCGATTTAAACAAGCTTGGAGGCAGGAGTGGCATCCACTTCCCTAACAGCTTGCCTCCAGAAAACCTATGAACCTGGAGAGAGGATGAAAGACACCCAAGCGTTGAAGACACTCCTTCATAGGGTCACTATGAGTTGCCTGCGACTTGACAGCACTTAACAACAACATTTATCACTAATATCACACACTAGCAAAATCCTGCTGAAGATTATCCAGAAAAGACTTGAACAATACATTGACAGAGAACTACCAGAAATATAGGCTGGGTTTAGAAGAGGTCATGGCACTAGGGACATTATTGCCAATGTCAGATGGATCTTGGCAGAAAGCAGAGAGTACCAGAAGAATGTCTATCTGTGTTTCGTTGACTATGCAAAGGCGTTTGACTGTGTGGATCACAATAAATTGTGGCTAACATTGAGGATAATGGGAATCTCAGAAAACTTGATCATGCTTATAAGAAACCTATTCTTGGACCAAGGAGCAGTCCTCAGAACAGAGCAAGGAAACACTGCATGGTCCAAAATCAGGAAAGGAGTGTGTCAGGGATGCAACCTGTTCCCATACCTTTTCAATCTGTATGCAGAACAGATCATTCAGGAAGCAGGGCTTTATGAGGAGGAGTGTGGCATCAAGATTGGAGGAAGACTCATTAACAATCAATGATATGCAGATGACACAACCTTGCTTGCTGAAACTGAGGAGGACCTGAAGCACTTGCTGCAAAAAGTCAAGGAGTGTAAGTCTCCAATATGGATTGAAGCTCAACATCAAGAAGACAAAGATTCTCACCACTGGGCCAGCTGGCTGCACCATATTAGATAGAGACAAGATTGAGGTTATGAGCAATTACAGCTTGCTTGGATCCACAATCAACACTCTTAACACCATCAGTCAGGAAATCAAAAGACAAACTGCATTGGGAAAATCTGCTGTCATGGACCTCTCCAGAGTGCTGAAGAGCAACGATGTCAGTCTAGATACAAAGGTGCGCCTAATCCACGCCATGGTCTTCTCAATTACTTATTATGCTTCAGAGAGTTGGACAATGACTAAGGATGACAAAAGAATAGTTGGCTTCGAGTTGTGGTGCTGGAGAAGAGTCTTGAACTCATGGACTGCCAAGAAAACAAATCGGTCTGTCTTGGAGAGGGTGAAACCAAGTCTCTCCTTGGAGGATGGGATTTTTTTAATTATTAATTTTAATGAACATTTACAGAGACTTAGGATTTCCAGTCATCCATTGTTGCACTTTTCTCCCTGCCCACCCTCTCCCTCCAATTCACTCTTCTCCTTGAAAAGTAAAACTCTTTGTTATGGAATCCCTCCCCCCAATTCCACTCCACTGTGCAGCCTTCATTCTGGACTCCTGTAATGACAGTAATACCCAATCATATATCCCTTTTAAACAGTTCTCTCCATCATCTGTTTCAATGCAGTATACATCATTCCTTCCCTCCTTTTCTGTGTTCCCTGAACCCTGATATCAGTCATGTTTTACAACAGTGGCCCTATGCCCTATTTGTTCTTTTGTGACTGAGATATTTCACTCAGCATAATGTCCTCCAGGGTCACCCATTTTGCATAATATTTCATGAGTTCCTTGTTTTTCAGTGCTGCATAGTATTCCATTATGCGAATATACAACAGCTTCTCTATCCATTCACTTGGGTTGTTTCCAGCTCTTTGCTATTGTGAACAAAGCCGCAATAAACATGGGTGTGCATATATATCTGCTTGGGTGGCAGTTATGGTTTCTTGAGGGTAAATACCCAGTAGTGGAATTGCTGGGTCAAATGGTATTTCTATTTGCAACTTTTTTGAGAAAGCACCATACTGTCTTCTACAGTGGTTCCACCATTTCACACTACCACCACCAGTGAATAAGGGTTCTGATTTCTCCAAAACCTCGCCAGCATTTGATGTTTGCCGCTCTGTTGAATTTTGCTATTCTGACTGGGGTGAGATGATATCTCATAGCTGTTTGATTTGCTTCTTAGAGCTAGGGATTTGTTTGTTAGCCATCTGAAGGTCTTCTTTGATGAAGTGTCTGTTCATATCATGTGCCCATTTTTCAACTGGGTAGTTTAACTTTATCTTGCTGAGGTGCTCAAGTATTTTATGAATTCTAGATATAAGTCCCGTATCAGACATGTCATTACCAAATATTTTTTCCCAATCTGTGGCTTCCCTTTGTACCCTGTTGGAGAAGTTTTTGGATGTGGGAGGATAGGATTTTGAAGTTCCACCTCACTTACTTTGGGCACGTGGCCAGGAGAGATCAGTCCTTGGAGAAGGACATCATGTTTGGGAGGGCAGATGGACAGTGTGTGAGAGGGAGACCCCGGGTGAGACAGACTGATACAATAACTGGGGTGATGGGAGTTGGTGTGTCAGAATTAGTGAGTCTGGCTCAGGACAGGGAAGGGTTCAGAGCTGCTGTACATAAGGTTGCTATACATCATAGGTGACTCAATGGCACATAGTAACAGTAACATACTATGACAGGTTGGAAGCAGAAGTGGCATCCACTTCCTAAATAACATGCCTCCAAAAACTCAATGAATTTTAATAATTGTCAATAGTTTTAGAGAGGCTTCAGGCTTTTTCTATATAGGGTCGCTATAAGTTATGCTCGACTCGAAGGCAATCAACAACAACAACAAACAGAAAGGCACCCTACCATCTCTTCAACTCTATTTGTGTGTCCCTCCATCATGTTGACAGCATCAGAAACCTTAGACCTCATATTTTGGATCATGGTTTCTTGTTTTTGCAATGTCTCTAATGCCTCGTTTGCTTTATCTGCATTGTTTTGGATTGTTTTTCTAAACTCCTCCTGATTTTTGCTAGCATTGTCCTGTAATTCATCAAGTTTCTTTTTCATCCATTGAAAATATTCAATCATTTTTCTTTTAAATTCTGTGTCAGCAAGTTCCATCAGGCTTTCTGGCTTCAGGAAATCCATTGCTACCGTGTCTTCTTTGGGGGGTGATATCTTGCTTTGGGCTAGTGGGACAAGTGAAACACTCTGCTTTCTACAGGCCATTGATGTGGCAGAGTTCTTCGTGTCTGAGGTGGTAGCTGGTTTTTGATTTGACGTCACTGCTCCAGGAGAAAGTCGGGCAGGAACAAGAGCAGATGCATGTAGGGTGCATGCACACTCTAATGCTCGTGTGAGTGGGGAGGGAAGAAGCACACACTGATACCCGTGGGGAAGAGTACGGGGGAACCTAAATAATGAAGAAGTCTGTTGTTCCCTTTCTGAAATGGCTTCCCCCGTCTTTGGAGATGTTCAAGATCTCCCTGTTGTTTGAGTTAGTGGGCCCCACGTGGTCAGGCCAGAAACCAATTTGTTTCCCCACGTAACTTAATCCTCAATGGTAAACGAGTATTTCAGGGGAGGTAGAAAGGCACCTTACCTATCTTTCTGGAGAGGAAAAAGCAGTGCCCTTGAATCTCTGACGAGAGAATTAAGAAGTCAAAACAATGCACGCTTACCTCCATGTTGAAAACCCACTCTTACGGAACATTAGCCTTTTCTCTAATTCCTCAAATATACTAACTGTACCAACTTCCGCTCCAGAAAGTTCACCTCTGTTTTATCAATAACTGACCCTTACCATGGGCCAAGCTCTCAGCAGAGATGCAGGTGTGACAGTACACGGCTTCTGAGTTCTGTGACTCACAGTCCCCTTCAGGAAGGCTCTCTGAACCAGTAGTGACAAAAACCTGACCCACAGGGGATGCCCTAGATCTACTAGACAGACATGGCACCAACTAATACCTACATGGTAGGTCCAGCATCTGGATACCAGATGGAGAGGGTTAGACTAGATTCCCCAACCCCTGCAGGCCCTCATTTTGTAGTAAAATGAGCAGCCCACGCCTGCTTTGATCACTAACAATACAGAAACAGACACAGCCCCCTTTTGCAAGGGAACATTTGGGATTCCAGGGCAGCCTTTTCCCACTATGGAGATGAAGGCCTCCTCTAGGACCACCATCTTCTCTGTGAACATGCCGTCTCTAACCTCTTTCTTTACTTGCTTCACACTTGACTCGCTGTAGAAGCTTCTGACCAAATAAGACAAAGCAACATCAGGACAAGGAAAATCATCATTAATGGCACCACAGTGACCATTCTGGCTTATATTCTTCTGGTCTTTTGCACATTTATAATTTGCAAAGAATGAGTTTTCTTGGGCCTGAGTTCTGGATGACTTGTGATTCCCTCCAAAGTCTATGTCTAGCTGGATGGGGGAAGGTCCTCCCAGAGAGAAACTCTCTTACCTCTGAAAACCCGCCTTTGAGATCCCAGGAGCTGGCAGATCTCAGCAGAGGACCCGCAGGAGTTGACACATTTCTGTATGCTGTCAGCCAGGTCAAATAGCGTCACATTGGAGGCCAGGGAAAAGGTGGTTTGCAGTGAGATCACCAGCATGCTGGACTCCCTGAAGGTGAAGGTTATAGGATTCCAGTTATTGAAATGATAAGACAATCCTGTTACTTCCATTCTCCAATGAGGAACAGAATAGCATAATAGCAGAGTGACCTGGGCATGGAGTCACCCAGCAGCCTGGTCAGAACAGGACCCAATGAGTTAGTTACTCTCTATGCCCCATGTTAGAATATTCTCCCCTTTTCGTGGACAAATTCACAAACAAAAGTAATTCTATTACTTACGCAGAAACACAAGCTGTAGATCGAGCATAACCAGGTAATGTTGAAAAACACCCATTTAACTGAAAGGAAGAACAAGTTTGTCATTAACTGTGAATTGGACAAAAGCTTCAGTGCTAGAATCACTTTTCTATTTTCATGACAAAGCTGGCACTTTCTAGCCATCAATTTACCAGGAGGCAGCTCCACACAGAAGGGCTGTCCCTTTCCCCCCCTCCTCTTATAGACATTTTTGCTTCTTCTGTTGTTCCCGCAGTACAGAAAGAGAAAAGCAGAAAGTAAATCAGTGGGGAGAATCTTGGCAGGAAATGATATTCAGAACAGCACCCTTGGATGCAAAATATCTTCAAAGAAGCAGATTCTCTCCTAAGACCCAGGGTTTCAAAAAGCTTAGAGGCAACTGTTTATTTGGACTTTGCATAGTGAACGAACCTTGTTAAAAATGCTCCTGTCCTTTCAGCTACCCCAGGGCTGGCGGGTGCTACACAAATTCCTCGTAATCTACAATGAATTGACCTAACCCAAAGATAAGTCTTCTTCAAAAAGGGGAAATTACATTATGTGGGTCAAGAGCTCTTTTGTTGAGAGCAAATTAAGAATGGCTCTCCCTGTGTTTGCCTTGTGCCCTCAGAGACAGCAGAAAATCCCTCTTCAGCATAAAGTATCATGCCTCTGGCCCCAGGTCCCCGACAGGAGGGGCTGGCAATTCTGCAGTGAAGCAGAGGGCTCCACATCTCGTACAAGGCAAGACCACCTGTCTTCAATCCATGTCCCAGACATAGCTCACTCTTCAGAACACAGATTCAAGCATAGCAGGTTATCAAACCCTTTCTGGTTTTGCACTACACTGATTACATTCTGTTAGGAAATAACAGGGAGATTTGGTGGTCTAATGAGTAAGAAGTCTCACTGTCAACCCAAAGTCAGGTGGTTTGAATCCATCAGTTGCTCTGAGGGAGAGAGATAGCTAACCCTCTCATAAGTGATTTATAGGCTCTAAAAACCCAGTGGAGGGTCAGCTGTGAGTCAGTTTCAACTGGACCATAATGAGTTGAGTAGAGTTGAAGCCATGACATAGTCTTAGTACAGCAAAAACCATAAAAGCCGGAATTTGTGTAGAAGGTAGGTGACATGTCAAAGAAGAAAAACACAAATATTTTCCAACTTAGAGCTACAGAAAAGTGGAAAGATTGTATCCTGTCAAAGGTAGAACATTTGTGAGACCCAGAACAACAAGGCATTTCGACTGAGTTCTGACTCTCACAGGTTTCACTGTATCACTTAACCTTTTATCTTCCAAGTGTTGGTGAAGTGGAATGGTATCTTGAGAAAAGCCATTAGAGTTTTCCTAGCTGCTACCCTCACTTTGTACCAGCAGTCAGAAAACAAAGAGAGGCATTGCACTGGGAAAACCTGAAGTTAGGGACCTGTCCAAACTATTGCAAAGTAAATGGCATCAGTTTGAAGACTAAGGTGTGACTGATTCAGGCCATAGTCTTTCTGACTTGCTGGACAATGAATAAAAATGACAGAAAAAGAATTGACGCCTTTGAGCTGTGGTGTTGGAGAAGAGCACTGAACATCCAATGGACGGCCAAGAGAATGAACAGGTAAGTCTTGGAGATGGTGCAGCCAGAGAGCTCTCTGGAGGCAAGAATGATGAGACTTCGCCTTACATACTTTGGACATGTTGTTAGGAGGTGCTATTCCTTGGAGAGGGACATGATGCTGGGAAGGGTGGAGGATCGGTGAAGGAGAGAAAGCCCCTCAACCAGGTGGATTGACACAGTGACTGCTGCAATGGGCTCTTGTGTGTCAGGAAGTGTGAGGATGGCACAGGACAGAACAGGGCTCAGATCTTTTGTTCATAGGGTCACTATGAGTTGTACTAGGCTCAACGGCACCTAACAAGTTGCTGCCTATTTCACCATTTTTTTAGCATGGGGAAGACATATTATCCATAAAGTCCATATTGAAAATGAGCAAATTAAGCACAGGTCAGGGATGGTAAATTTGAAAGGAGGCTCTGAGTGTGTAAGAAGATGCTGTGAGTTTGGGAGAGAGATGCCAGCCATACCTATAAGCAGAATCTTTGCTATGGTATAAAAAAGTAAAATTGTTCACCACATATAAGCCTCTGCCTACCTTATTACTGAATAATGTGACACCGAGAAGGTACCATGTCCCTACCACACAACCAAGGTACAGCAGAGGCACAAGACAGCACTACGTGTATTGTCAGACGATATAATATTAATACCCTGCTCCGTGTAAACTCAGGCATTGTCATTGATATTCCAGAGCCTCATCCATAAGAGTCTGGTAGCGCCTCTTAGGAGAGCGAGGCATTGGCCCGGTGCCTGACATGGAATCGAAGCTCAGCAGATCCAGAGGGATGTCATGTTTGGGAGGGTGGAGGGACAGCGCAAGAGAGGAAGATCCTTGACGAGATGGATTGGTTCAGTTACTGGGGTGATGGGAGTAGGTGTGTCAGAGACAGTGCGATTGGCACAGGACAGAGCAGGGTTTAGGGCTGTTGTACATAGGGTCGCTATGAGTTGCAAACGGCTCAATGACACATAACAACGACATCTCATTCTATAAAAATTCAGTCAGTAACATCATCCTGAAATTCTTGGCTAGTATTTGAATGCTTCTTCAGATGTATTCCTGCAATAAGAAATAAATAAATTCCTAAAACTTATTTTAATGAAAAATTTCCATTTTCTAAACACCAAATCTTAGATTCTGGTGGCAGCTGAGAAGCACAGTTTACTGATTTGAGCATCATTTTCATCTCTTCCTCTTTAATTTCCATTTCTCTATTTTTAATATTCTGAAAAAAAAGTAGGCAAAGAAGCAAAGAGGAAGACTCGAAGGCCCTTGCATAACCTATGCGGTGAATGCTCAAATCCTAAGTAACCAGGGTTAATTACTGTTCTTTTGGCTTTCCCTACAGGAAAAGTTATTCTCCTCAACCTCTAAAGCACACACAGTTACACGACATGTAAACTGAAGATGTGATATTATGACCATTTGGACTTTTTCTAGGAGTTCCGGTGGCACATGGATAAGTGTCTAACTACTATAACAAAAGGCCAGCGGTTGAAGCCCACCAGCTGCTCCTTGGATGAAACACATGGTAGCTTGCTCTGATAATAGTTACAGCCTTGGAAACCCTCTGGGACAGTTCTACTTTGTCCTATAGGGTCACTACACATTGAAATCAATTATGGCAATAGTATAGCTGGGAGTTCTGGTGGCTTAGTGCTAAGAACCTATCCCGAAGGCATGATGTTGGACTCCACCAGCTGTTCCGTAGAACAAAGATGGAATCTCCTCCCATGTGATTAACTGCCTTGAACACCTGTGGGAAGGTCAGCTGTTGGTCGGCTCTGACCTGATGGCACACAGCAACAACAACATAATTGATCAGTTTTCCTTTTCCTAAGTGTTTTTAATTGGTGTATGTTACCTATATGTGTCTGACATAAAATTTCTAAGTAGAAAAAAAAAGCACAGATGAATAGATAAAAGACTATAAATGGGACACTTTGAAGAAATACATCTACTGGGCCCCACTAATTCTCAGCATTTCTCTTCCATTTCTAAGAGACTTTTTATTTACTATGAAATTTATCTTCCAAATATGATAGAGATCAACAGCCTAGGAGATACACAGAGTTCATCACTAGGAAATTATGAACTCTGAATCAAATCTAGTCTAATTCAAAAGCTAACACAAAGACATTTGTGAGGAAACTTACTGTTTTGATTATCTTGTTTTCAATTTCACGTAGGTCAGAATGTTCTTCCACAGTAGTATTGAAAAAAGTTTTCTTTAATTTAAACTCTGTCACAAAGGTTCGAACTAAAATGGAAAACATAACCCATTAGACCACATGATGGACTGACCTACTTAAAGCCATGGGGTTTTAAAATTTTTTATTAATTAGTTTACTAGTTGAGTGAAGGAATACAAATCATACGGATTTTCATAGAATTATTCATAGACATTTTGCTTTCTAACATTAATTACCATTGATTAATATTATATCTAATTAACCCCTTATTGTGTGTTGCCTTTCCTCCAGGCTATGTTTTTATAAACCTTTTTTATCCAAGCTTACCTCAAAGGATATTCTCTGTGCATTTCTTTCCCCTTTATGGTGGAGCCTGCCTCTCCCTCAGTTAGGTCCCCTTTCTAGAAGAATGAACATCTACTGAATCAGACAGAAGGTCCAGAGTGAGTAAAGCTTTGGGTGAGAGCTGCAAGAAGAACTTCTTGTGGTTTCACCCATAACAAATGCTCAATAAAGCTGACAAAAAGGAAGATGAGCTCTTCTACATAAAGTCCAAGGGGAAGAAGATAAAGTACTGGATACTAAGCACTAGATACTAAAATGTCTGTCAGGCCTGCCAAAGCCTCAGAGGAGTTTTTTTGCTTGCCAAGGTCCTTTCCCCTCAACTTCAAAGGTCTGCATCAGTTTTCTCTTCTCATTACAGTCATTCACATCCTCCTTGCTCAAACAGCTTTGAGGAAACAGCTTCCAAGTGGCAAAGTTAGCATTCACATTCATGTGTGCTCATCTTCAAAGCTCTCTGCCTACCAAACACTCTCTGTCCCCAAGGATAATCAAGGGTCTACAGAGAAAACGTGTCACACGTTTGTAGTGGCCCCACACTCTGGGAGTTGCCAGACTCTGTGATCATAAGCTACATAATGAAAACAACTTATTTTTTTATTTATTTTATGTGTGTGTGTGTGTGTGTGTGTGTGTGTGTGTGTGTGTGTGTGTACCATCAAATCAGATCTGACAGGTACAGGATGAGATTGTTCCTCCTTCTCCAGCAGAGCATCTGGTGGATTTGAACCATGTACCTCTGGTATTGCAGTACACCTTCTTGCCACTAGGCCACCAGAGCTCGCCATTAAAACAACTTATAATGAAGAAAGCTGTGGGTTCAGAAGCACTGTTCTGAAGGTCCATTTCTCTCATAAAATTGTCATTAACATCAACTTAGGCTAAATGAGCCTGAGGGAAATTGGACTTATAAATGGGCAGACAACCAAAGAAACGAGTAAGGATTGCTTTATAGCTCGCTCTCATCGCCCTTTATATTCAATTCTCATCTTTCCCTATGGAGGGAGGGAAGCCTTCTCAAGAATTTAAAAAAAAAGAAAAAAAAAAGACAACAAACCCCTCCAGAAATCTATGAAGCTATTCTTTCACAGAAAGCTTGCATGCTGAATTAAGAAAAAGGCCCACAGTGAGCCAGAGAAAACATTTAATATCTTAGACTTACTGTCTAAAGCCCTTAATCCTTATTTAACATCTTTTTTGCTTGTTCTACAGTTCAGTGAAGCCAGCTGCTTAGGACTCCTTCTGAGCAGCAGGGAGCTCTTTGAAAACATTCTTGGCCAAATGAAAGCATTTCAGCATGCTCTAATTTGCATGCTCCTCTGATGTTTCTGAACAATGAAGCTAAATGACTTGAAAAGGGAAAGATGATTATTAACACAATGGAATTGCTCTCCTCGGGATCATGCTACCTGGAGGAGACAACACACTGGCTTCCAGCACGCTGGCTTCCAGGAGTCAACTCATTCCCTGTCTCTGTATCACCTAGGTCATACATGTCAAGGATTATATCTAGACTCTCTGAATAGGAATGTCCATATTGCAACTCCCAAAACGCATCTGATTCCCTGATATAATGTTTGTATTCTGCTGTTGCAGTAGTTAGGCGTTTGCCTGCTGACTGAAAGCTCTGCTGTTCAAACCCACAGCTGCTCTGTGGGAGAAAGACGATGCAGTCTGCTTTTAAGATTACAGTCTTGGAAATTCCATGAGGCAGTTCTGCTCTGCTCTATAGAGTCAGTAAGAGTCAAAACTGACTTCATGGCTGTGAGAGTTGGTTCAGAAATCTTTAACCCTTTAACTAAAAGTATCCTAACATCTTTAAACTAAGAAACAGTTTCATTAACTAGTAAAAAGTGTCTCCCAATACAATATTTTTTATTAAATTTTTTTAAAATGTGTGTGTGTGTGCTGTCAAGTCAGATCTGACTGGAACAGGAGGATATTGTCCCTCCTTCTCCAGCAGAGCATCTGGTGGATTCAAACCATGCACCTCTGGGAGTGCAGAACAGCTCTTGCCACTAGGCCACCAGAGCTTGCCCCATGACAATATTCTTTTTTTTGTTTTTTTGGTGAGAAAAATTTCTATTTAGAACTAGCCCGCTGGATTCCGTTTAGATGATCCCAATTTTGTTGGCAACATCCAAAGCATCACAGTCAGGAGCAAGTCAAACATAGGCCTTCTTCCCTTCATCAGGCCTAATCAAAGTGTTGACCTCGGCCACATCAATGTCATAGAACTTCTTTACAGCTTGTTTAATCTGGTGCTTATTGGCCTTGACATTCACAATGAACGCAAGTGTGTTGTTATCTTCTATCTTCTTCATAGCTGACTCAGTGGTCAGAGGAAATTTGATGATGGCATAGTGGTCAAGCTTGTTTCTCCTGGGGGTGCTCTTCCGGGGGTATTTGTGCTGCCTTCGGAGTCTCAGCATCTTAGGCTGCCAGAAGGTGGGTGATGTGCAGATCTTTTTTTTTGCTGTGGATGCCCTTCAGGACTGCCTTCTTGGCCTTCAATGCCTTTGCTTTGGCTTCAGTTTTGGGAGGGGCACGGGCTTCCTTCTTTGCTTTCGGCGCCATCTTCGTAGGAAAAAAGCCCATTACAATATTCTTAAAATACTTCTTAAGAATATCATGCTCTTTAAAGAACTGTGCAAACAGAACAGACAAAAGCAACTCAAAAGACTAAACCAGACACTGAGGGGCCAGTGAGTATATGTTAGTGCAGGAGGAATAATTTGGAAAAGGTGGGTAAGAATGAAGGATGTACTAGATCTCAGTGAGATGTTCATGGAGAAACGGTTGAGTTCATGTTTGCTCTACTGTGTTTATTCTCAACCACATCAAAATAAAATATTCTGAAAAGGAAGTAAGTTAAGGGGGGAGAGATGCACATATTGTAAATGCTAAGCATACAGATCACCTATGAGTCATGAAGAGAGGATGGCTCCATGTACACATGGCCTTGGATTAGAAACAGCACTCGTCAGTCTTCCTCCAACTCCTTCATGCCTACAGTTACATCATCAGCCTTTAAGTACAATTTTTACTTCAGATTTAGCTGTTAGTGTCTATGTATTATTGAAAAGGATTTTTTAAAAGATCCGTAATTATTATTTTCTGTTAACAGTGGATTATTGCTCTTCATTCTTATCCAAGAAATTAAGGAAAAATACTAAATTACAGCCCACATCTGGAGAGCTCTTTATCATTTTTAAAGCTTGCTCAAGTAATTCTTTCATTTGGCCTTCACAAGAACCCATAGTAGGAGGCAAAGCAGATGGTAATCTGATTTCACAGATGAGGACACTGAGGCTCAGAGGTCAGGACTGTGATCCCCAGGGATTTGACAGTAGGCAGTCGGGGGCCAGGAGTTGGGAGCCGGGCATGGAAACCTGGGCAAGTGTAACTTTCCACACTGTTCCAAAACAGAATCATGTCCATGTCCTCCACTCTTGAATGATCTTAAAATTCCAGACTTATTTCTGATTGGATGTGGCTAAATGGACTAGGTTACCCAAATGCAGATCAGTTATGAAGATCAGGTATGAAGAATTCTTGATTTTGACCAATGATTTTATTTCTAGATTTTTCCTTTCTTTAATAATGTTTAGACTCCATTCTTCTACTTCAATTCCATTTTCAAAATTCTATTTATTTTATCTTCTGTAGTCTAACTTTCCTTGCTGCAGAAGATCAAACTTCTTTAATATGGACTGCATCTTAACATCAAGAAGATAAAAAGAGGGAACTCTGGTGGCCTAATGGTAAGAAGCTGCACTGCAATCTCAAAGGCTACTACCTGCTCCGTGGAAGATAGATGGGCAATCTCCTCCTGTGCAATTAACGGTCTCTGAAAATCTGCTTGGAGGGTCAGGTATAGGTTGGTTCCAACTCAGTGGTACACAACAACATCACAGTCTAACTTCTGCTTGCTGCAGAAGATCAAAATTCTAACAGAAGATTGTCTTCAACATGGATTGCATCTCAACAAGAAGACAACAAAAAACCTCACCAGTGGACCTATAAACAATATCATGATAGAGGAATAAAAAATTGAAATTATCAATGATTTTATCTTAGATCCACAATCAACACCTTTGGTAAAAGCAGTTATGAGTTCCAAAGACATACTGTATTGGGCAGGTTTGCTGTCAAGAACCTCTACAAATTACTGAAGAGCAATGATGTCAGTCTAAAGACTAAGGTATGCCTGATTCAGGACATAGTCTTTATTCACTATGTATCTGAGAGCCAGAAAAGGAATAAGGATGACAAAAGAAGAATTGATGCCTCAGAGTTACAGTGTTGGAGAAAAGTACTAAATATCCCATGTTGTTGTTGTTATGTGCTGTCGAGTCTCCTGCAATTCATAGTGGGCCTATGTACAGCAGCCCTAAACCCTGCTCTGTCTTGTGCCAATCACACTGCCTCTGACACGCCCATCCCGATTACCCCAGTCACTGAATCAATCCACCTCATAGAGGACCTTCCCCTCCTGTGCGGTCCCTCCACCCTACCAAGCATGATATCCCTCTCCAAGGACCGGTCCCTCCTTACAACATGTCCAAATTATGTTAGATGGAGCCTCAGAATCCTTGCCTCCAAGGAGTCACCCGGTTTAACCCTTTCCAGGACAAATCTGTTTGTATTCCTAGCAGTCCATGGTATTCTCAATACTCTTCTCCAGCACCACAGCTCAAAGGCATCAATTCTCCTTCTATCCTCCTTGGTCATTGTCCAACTCTCTGATGCATAACAAGTGATTGCGAAGACCATGGCCTGTATCAGATGCACCTTAGTCTCCAGAGAGACACCACTGCTCTTCAGTACTTTGGAGAGGTCCCTAACAGCAGACTTGCCCATGGCAATACGTCTTCTAATTTCCTGGCTGCTGGTGCCAAGAATGTTGACCATAGAGCCAAGCAAACTGAAGCTGTGAACAATCTCAGTCTCTTCACCATCCATCCTGATGCTGCCAATTAGCCCAGTGGTGAGAATCTTTTGTCTTCTTGACATTGAGCCCCAATCCATATTGGAGGCTGCAGTCCTTGACCCTCTGCAGCAAGCGCTTCAGGTCCTCCTCAGTTTCAGCAAGCACGGTTGTATCACCTCCTCAGTTTCAGCAAGCACGGTTGTATCATCTGCATATCGTAGATTGTTGATAGATCGTCCACCAATCTTGACCCCACATTTCTCCTCATAGAGCCCAGCCTCCTGGATAATCTGTTCTGCATATAGGTTGAAAAGGTATGAAGACAGGACACATCCCTGGTGTATGCCCTTCCCAATTTTGAACCATGCAGTGTTTCCTTGCTCTGTTCTGACACCTTCCTCTTGGTCCAAGTATAGGTTTCTCATTAGCATGATCAAGTATTCTGGTATTCCCTTTCTTCTCAGAGTCAGCCACAGTTTGTTATAGTCCACACAGTCAAATGCCTTTGCATAGTCAATGAAACACAGATACACATTCCTCTGGTATTTCCTGCTGTCAGCCAATATCCATCTAACATTAGCTACAATATCCCTAGTACCACGACCCCTTTTAAACCCAGTTTGGACTTCTGGCAGTTCTCTGCTGATGTGCTGTTCCAGTTGTTTTTTTACAATCTTCAGTAGAATCTTGCTTGCATGTGAAATCAATGTTATTGTTCTATAGTTTCCACACTCTGTTGGGTCACCTTTCTTTGGAATGGGAACAAATATAGATCTCTTCCAGTCAGTTGGCCAAGTGGTTGTTCTCCAGATTTCTTGGCACAACTTGGTTAGCACATCCAGGGCAGCATCTGTTAGCTGAAGTATGTCAATTGACTGCCAAAAAACCAAAGAGATATGTCTTGGAAAAAGTGCTCAGAGTGCTCCTTGGAGACAAAGATGGTGAAGCTTCACCTCACATACTTTGGGCATGCAGCTAGGAAAAGCTATTCCCTGGAAAGGAACACATCATGTTTGGAAAGGTAGAGGGTCGGAAAAGATGAGATGTATTGACATAATGACTGTTGCACTGGGTTCAAGTATGTCAGAGATGATGAGGATGACATAGGACAGGCCAGGATTCAGATCTGTTGTTCACAGGGTTGCTATTGAGTAGTACTTGACTAGACAGCACCTACAACCAATGATAGCTAGTAATCTTGAGCATTTCTTCATGTGTTTGTTGGCTGTCTGAATGTCCTCTCTGGCGAAGAGTTTTTTTCATATCTTTAGTCCCCTTTGTAATTGGGTTGTCTTTTTCTTGTTGAGGTGCTGGGGGTTTCCCATAAATTTTAGAGATAAGCTCCTTATCAGCAATGTCACTGCCACGTATTCTTTTCCTCAGTCTGTAGGCTGTCTTTATACTTTTTTAGCAAAAAATGTTTAAGTACATAAGGATTTCCTTTTTAGACAATTTTGTTCACCCATTTTATCCTCTCCTGGCTGTGTTCACGTATATCAAAGATTAGGATTTCTAAACATGTTCCCATTTTTTCTCTGATGATCTTTATATATTTAAGTTTTATGCTTAGACCCTTGATTCGTCTTGAGTTAGTTTTTTTATATGGTGTGAGGTATGGATCTGTTTCAGTTTTGTGCAAACAGAAATCCAGTTTTAGTGGCACCATTTGTTAAAGAGGTTATCTTTTCCCCACACAATAGGTTTTATCTCCTTGTCAATGATCAGTTCACTGTAGATGGACGAATTGGTTTCTAAATTCTACTCCACTGGTCTACACTGCAAGTAGTTTTTTTAGACCAAATCAACTGTCATCGGTTTGACTCTGATTCATTGCAAGTTCATGCACGAATATTAGAATATCAAAAGGACTATGCCCAAAGTTATTTTCTATTTTTTTAAATACTTATTTATTTCTTTTTACTGAGGTTTTATTTTTACCTAACGTATCAAACTGAAACATTTAAGATTATTCAAATATGAACGGTTCTACCTACTAGTTTCCTTAACCAGCATAGGTTCCTCTATTTTTCATTTCTAATTTCTTCTGAGATATATGAATATTGCACACTATACGGCAGAACGTTCTTACAATCAACATGATATTATGTAAGAGAAAGGGCTGTAGGCTGGAAATTATGCCTTTCATCAGTCAGGTGTGTAATTTGAGCCACTTATCATTTTCATGGGGCCTTAGTTTTCATTTGGCTTGTGTGCTTTTTAACCTGTAAAATGGAAATTATACTTAAAATCAACTAGCTTCACGAAGTTATAAATTAGGGAACAAAGTATGACAAATTATACGGTACAATTACAAACACAGCTTTGTGAAAACATATTTCTCTGTGGACCAGAACATGAAGATCATTTTTAGAAATGTGTAAACAGTAAGTAGAACAATTGAGGTATTATGCTGTTTTTCTTCATCTTAAAAATAAATTTGACATTTTTTTTACTAGGTTGTCTGAATAACCTTTTGAAGGTTTTTTGCCGCCAATTGCAGGGCAGAATTATTAAGCAAATAATATAATGCATAATGAGTGGTATATTCTGAAGTTATTAAGATATTTACATACATTTTAATAATATGGGAATAGACTTCAGATACAAAGTTTGTATACACTTTACGATTTTAACTCTATAAAAATAATGGACATCAAAACAAATTGCAAAGTAAAAAGCTGTATCTCTGACTAGGAGAATTACAGGAAATGTCTTCCACTTCTTTCCAAATTCCTTAAGTTTATACATTGAAGAGATAAAGGGTTTGGTTAGAGAAAAAGAAACAGTAAATATTATTTTTTAAAAAAAATCCACAACCCCACAATGTAGCACAAAATAAATTCTAACAAAGACTAACTCTCTTACCCAAATTGCATATTCCTTTTTCCAACTGGTACCCAACTGGGCACTTGCAGGTGAAGGATCCCTGAGTATTGTTGCACGTTGCCTGGGGCGGGCAGGGGTTCGAGAGGCATTCATTTACATCTGCCAGAGAGAGACAACCACACAGCACAGTCATACTAAATCCAGCACAGTAAACACTCACGCCATAGGTGTAGTAAGACCAGGGAGGTGAACATGACAACGAGACATCACCTTGTTGTTCAACAGGTTGAGGGTGAGTGTGGAAGCAGCCGAGTAAGTCACTAACTAGAAATACCCATTGTGGTCAAGTCAATTCTGATTCATTAAAAAATTCAAACTCGGGGGCAGGGGGAGGTAGAGAAAAAAGTACAACAATGAACGAATGGAAATCCAAAATCCCTGTAAATGTTCATTAAAATTAATAAGAGAAAATTTTTAAAAAATCAAACTCAGTTGTCCAGTCAGAAATGACTCACACTTGACCCTTCAGTGGGTTTTCAAGACTATGAAAAGCACAAGCGGAGACGGTCCGTCTTTTTGCCAAGATAGAGACCCTGAAGCACAGAAGAGAACTGCCCTTCAGGGTGTCTGCAATCATTACAGAAGCAGATTCCTTCATCTCTTCCTCTGGAGCTGCTGGTGGGCTCAAACCACTGACTTTTTCTTTTGGTTAGATGCTGAGTACTTAACCTCTGTGCCATCAGGGCTTCTTAACTAGATACGCAGGGCAGGATTTGGAAACACAGGGAAAGGAACAGATTTTGATGGGACAGGGTGGTAATTAAGGATTGTTTACTGTATATTTACATAAACAACATAGGCATCATACAGTCTGCCAATCATACTACCCCTTTGTTCATTAGTTTCCCATGTGCACTGTGTGTATTATATGTCTGCGCATGTTCTTTACATGGGCATGGCATATGATAAAGAACGTCTGGACTAAGACTGAAGGGCTTTCATAAGGAAAAGACAGGACACTCTAGGTACCCAATCAGTAATGGCCTGGGGACAGGAAGTATCAAGGTCTTTAGGGAGCTGAAGGTGGTACAGTGTGGTCAGACTGCAGAGCTAGATCACGGAGCTTATCAGGCCAAGCTACAAAATCTGATACTATTCTGCAAAGAACACATAACCAGGCTAACTCTCAGTGAAGTGGAGTATTAATGTGGAGGAAAAAGTAGCTTACTGAACATGTCCGTTTGATACTGTCGTGGAGACACTGAACGCCACTTACCCACACTGCAGTCGTCCCCCTGCCAGGAAGGTGAGCACATGCACCGATACCCACCACTGGTGGCGTCAGCAACACAGCGCCCATTATGAAGGCAAGGGTTCGTGGCACAGCTGTTGACTGAAAAACACATTCCAGAAATAAAGCAGTTAACCACACAGGAAATGTAAAGGCAGCTCTGGGTAAATATTTAACACTCCCAGTCAATATTTGATGTCTGCTTATTTCTGTTTACTTACTCTGAAAGGCCACACTGCTAGTACATAATAGGGATCCACGAGCCCAAGAGGTGCAGCAGACAGGCGCAGCGGACCTGGGCAATGCTACAAGGCTGTGCACACACGCAAATGTGAGACCACTGACCCCTGAACGCAAGAGCTGGTCCACATCTAAACACTGCTCACAGGTCATTCACCCCAGGGCTGATGATTGCATAGCCTCTGTGATGCTCAGAAAATTCTCCTTGAATCAATGCCAATTTAAAGCACATTAAGGGGAAAAAATGCCTCCCTGATCAATCCATCCGCTGTACTGTAACTGTTCAAGCATGTGTGCCAACACACACAGGGCTCCATCAAAACCTTATCTTTTATCTAAAACCTCTCAAAACTTAAGTAGGCCTCCACACATTGTACAATAGGAAAATGATCACTGAGCACTAAAATTACCTTCTCTCTTCTCTCCTATATATAAAAATCAGCTCTACCTGAATTCATTTAGGCCCTCATGATACACAAGCTTCAATATTATCTTGTACTCCGAGCCCCTGAGGGCTGTGACTACAGCTCAGTATGGCTCCATGCAAATAGTCGTAGCATGCTCCAGGGGCCTCAAACAATGGTTTCTGATACTCAGAAAAGCTGAACCCACAACGTAACTCAACAGTTTGCATGGAGTGAATGAGTGGTTGAGTGAGAAGTCAAGAGTTCTAACTTCAAAAATAAGAATCCTAGGACACAGATGGGTAAATGTGAAGATGCTGCTGGCATTGTTCACTATAGCCTCAACTATTACCTATACACACCTACTATGTACAAACACCCTCACAGTGGGAGACCTGTGAATTACATTCTCATAATGGAATAATATCGTTGGTCTCTGGAAACAAAGCCTTGTATGTTCTGAAGCACACAATTTGGGGCTCCCAAATTCCCCAGAGTGATCCATCATGCCTTTCCCAAAAGTCCTTGGATCACTGGTTCCAAAGGGGGTGACTGGTGTTCGTGCACTCTGTGGCTGGTACCCCCTAACCCCACAGGTTGATCATGGTAGACTGATTGAGACTGCCTCAGTAACCCAGTCACTACAAACCACTTCTCTTCTTTTCCTCCTGGTCTGGAGAAACCAAACGAATGATTTTTAAACACGACATCAAGAGATACATGATCCCACTTCCTTCTACACTTTCATAAATGGTAAAGAATTATTTGGATGGCATTCGTAGCCCAAGTCACATGACGTCTCCTCCAGAAAGAGAGGATGCACTTCAATATGAATGTAAAGCCCAATAATGTTACAGAAGCCATGGTCACTCTAGATTAGTTCACTGGATAGGTTTATGGGACATGCTCCAATCCCAACACTGTCATTTCAGCTAGCAACATAACCTGAGAGAGACAGAGCAGCTTGGGCTTCCTCTGAATCAAGAGGGGTCTCCCTGTTGAGCATGACAGCGGCAGATGGGCTAAAAGCCCTGGGAGAGGCAGGTTCGTGCCACGTCTCCGAGGCCTCTTCACTGTTCTTCAGGTGCCCGCCCTCCCGATCCAATACTGCTGCCGGTCTCTGACCTTGGAAGTCTGAACGTCATGCTTGAAAGCTCTTGCAATTACAGAGCATTAAAAGCTCCAGCTGGGCAATCTACTCATGTCATACAAGCCAATGCATGCTCTCCTCTCTCCAGAGGAAGAATTATGTGACACAGAGGTGAGCATGTCAGGCTCGTCCCAAGGTTATTTCACGGTTTAAGTGCTTCAACAGGAAGCATTTTAGATCACAATACAGACATGCACCATTTCAACATTCTCAAGAGTCGAGAGCTCTGCACAGTAGCTCTCAGTGCCTAATAGGGTCTCCCAGGTAACGTGAGTGCTGGCGAGACTGAGTTTTTTACCTGAGGCAGGAGATGACAATGTTGTTGTTGACAGTGTGCTGCCCTGAGCAGGAGAGGTGGTAGTCAATACTTGAGTAGTGGCAGCATCTATGGTTTGAGGAGAAGGAGATGGTCTGGAGAAGTGTACAGCTGGGCTGTGCTCTTCCGTAACCCCATCTCCTGTGGCCACTGCTCTTGGTGACGTGGGTGCACTGGTCAGAGGGATCCATCTGGTGGTCATATCTACATGCACTTGAGTCCTTTTAGTGGTGACAGTACCCTGTGTTGTGATTTGCGGCACTACAAACTCAGCACTAGTTGGTAAGGCCTGTTTCCCGGCTGATGTCTGTATCACTGTGGCCTCACCCGTCAGGGCCGCTGTGTTTGATGGGAGGCTGACAGTGGTCACGGGAGGATGTGAGGTCTCTTGGGTAGTGGCTCTCAGAGCTGGAGACATTTGGGCTAAGCTAGTGCTCGTGGTTGGAAGGATGTCCTCGATGGAGGATTCTGTTAAGGCTTGGGGCCAACGGGCTCCAGAAGTGCTCACTGTCACAGCTTCAGTGGGTGATGCTGTCGAAGACACCAGGCTTGGTGACTCTGGTTCTGTCATGTTTTCGTCCTGGTGTAGGGCAATCTGGTACTCAGGGGCTGCTGTCTGACTACTAGGGAGCATTTCCATGGGTGATGCCACCGTCCACATCCTGACTGAAGTTCCAGAAGTCTCCCTTGCACTGGGCAGGATGGGTGTAGAAGATGAACGTGGTGAGGCTGTTGATGAGACAGCTGATGGGACAGGGGTAGACGGGACAGCGGCAGATGCCATCATGGATAGTGTTAAAGGTGATGGCGAGGAAGACAATGAGGCACCTGAGGTAGACTTCAATACGGGAGCAGAGGGTCTGGTTGATGAGAGCGCTGAAGAAAACAGGTGGTGGGACTGTGAAACTGAGGGCAAAGGTAAGAGGGGCCCCGTTGAAGAAGATGAATTATCCACAGATAAAGAATTATCCACATTCAAAAGAGCCAAAGTGTTTGGCACGTTAACAGTGGACGTGTAGGATGGAGGGCTGGGGGTCCGCATAAGTAGTGACTCGGTGGAAGGCTGGGCATAGCCCCCACCATAGGATGAGGCATTACTCTGTCCAGTCTGCACATGAGAAGAGGAAGAAGACTCTAAATGTGAAGAGTTGAAGATCTTAATATAAGAAGTCGAACTCTCCATTGTGTCTGAAGACGAACTGTTGTCTGTAATGGACAGTAATGTCCGTTCTCCTTTGGTGAAAGTAGATGAAACATAGCTGTGGTCTGTGTGGTGGCCGGAAGTCCTCTGTTCAATATCTGTGCCGCTCAAATGATCATAACTAACTCCAGTAACTGTAAAGGGAGAAAAATCAAAGTCAGGTCAACAAAAGGAACGAACATGAAATCAACTTTCAATGTCCTTTCCTTGAATATAAGTGAGCTGACGGACTCTTAGGAGGTGGTTTTCAGTGGTGAGCACTCGGGTTAGGGGCAGGACGGGCCAGTAGCAACGCCAATGTCAGCTCTGGGTGTATGTATTCCTCCCGGGAGGAAGAACAGTGGAAGCAATGAAATGGCAGGAGCCTAACAATAAACACCAGGTCCAAATTCCTTCCACATGCCTTTTCTGATAAGAGCAAACCGGTATCAGAAAAGCTCTTAAGACCCCAAATAGAACAATTGTTGTGCCTAAATGGAAAAAGGAATAAAAACCTCCCAACTTTCCATTATGTATAATGAGATACTTCTTTTCCAGGAGATTGGCTTTAACCACAAAGTGGCTGGTTGCATTTATTTTCGGCCTCCTGGCAAATGTCATCCCGAATGCTTAGGCAAGCGCACATGTGGTTGGGGTGTGGGTGAGGTGGGTAGGAGAGGAGCAGGTTGGGAGAGCTGTTCATCCTCCTATTGGGGAAGAACTTCAATAAAGTTCTCTTCAGAAAGGCTTGTCACATACATTCTGGGCAAGGTGGAAGGGGGACCCCATAATTATTCCAGGATGGTGAGCAAATTGACAGGTGAGCTGAAGGAATGTGAGAAAGAGGCACTGCTGCAGACACATTACCTCCAAGGGCACGAGAGGCAGCCACAGACTCCGAGACCAGGGCTGTATCCTTGGTCACGTTCAGGAGCTGAGTCACGCTCTCTGTTTCTCCAAGCACTGAGGCCGAGGGCCCCGCATCCGCAGAAACTGTACTCCCGTTGGTAAGAGATCGCAGCGTCCGCTCCCCACTCCCAGCCAAAGTAGCTGACGTGTGGCTGTGAGGATAAGATCTGGAAGCCTTGTCCTGTCCATCTGAAGAGCCTCCCAGTGCATAGGTATCTTCAACGGCTGAAAGAAGATTGGGACAAGGGGGTAGATGGTGGTGGTGCCAGCTGAGTTAGTTCTTTACTCATGGTGACCCTGTGTCCACGCAGAGCAGAACAAAAATATTATGTGGCCCATAGTGTTTTCAATGGCTGATTTTCAGAAACAGATCACCAGGCCTTTATTCCTAAAAAAACAAAACCTAAAAAAAACCCTACCTCCTTGGCTGTCGAGTCAGAACCAACTCAGAGCTGACAGCACAGCAGGTTTTCAGAAGCAGTAAACGGCACAGAAGGAGACGCCCATCTTTCTTTCATGGAACGGCTGAAAGATCTGAACTGCCTGCTTTTGGGCTGGCAGCACAACTTTTTAGCCACTAGGCTATCAAGCTCCCTCCTTTCTTCCCAGTCTGTCTCATTCTGGATGTTCCACTGAACCTTGTTCATCATCATAGCTCTGCTGACAGATGAGTGGAGGCTGTGTAGGAGATACAGTGGCCAGGATCGAACCCAGCTCTCCTGTACAGAAGAGGAGAATTCTACCACTGAATCATCACTGCCTTCAAGTATAGGACTAGAACAACATTCATATGAAACGGTCTCCAAAATAAGCACCGCTTCCTAGACTACATGAGCTAAAACACTTCCCTGTACTATTTAAGGGGTTTTATCCAAGACTGACAAAGTGGAAAACCAAGATACGTGTTGTTCTTATACAACAAGGACTGAAACCTCAAGACGAACCACGGCTCAGCCTATCTGTTTCGGTGACCCAGATTTATGGGAAGGTTTATTACTTCAGTGAACAAGATCAATACCATATTTTTTGCTCAGTGAGACATAATAAATAAGAGCTTATGTCAAGAACACTGGTGGTGGCCGCAGGGTAGGTAAGTGCTAGGCAAAGACTAACAGGCCTTCTGGGGTGCAGACATTCTGAGCATACCCAGGAGGGGCCGCTATCGAGCAGGCTCCCACCCCTCATAAGATCCACAACATGCGAGTCAACACAGGGCCTCTTATAAGTAGTCGTGGTAGTGCAGTGAGTTACATACTGCACTGCTAACTAAAAGGTCGGCTGTTTGGGACCATCAGGTACTCTGACAGAGAAAAATGGGCACCTTCCACCTGGACAGCTTTACAGACTCGGAAACCCAATGGAGGGTCACTGAGAATCAGAACTGACTCAATGGCAGAGGGTTTGGTTCTTGGTTCTCACTCTCTAGTGTTATTTCTCCACTTAACCAAACCAGTGAGAAATGGCCCTGTGGTTACAAGTTAGAGGCAGTTTGTTTTAATGATGTTAGTCTAGAGACTAAGGTGCACCTGATTCAGGCTATGATCTTCGTAGTTACTTGTTAAGCATCAAAGAGGTGGACAATGGCTAAGGATGACAGAAGAATTGATGCCTTAGAATTGTGGTGCTGGAGAAGAGTCTTGAATATACTATGACTGCCAAGAAAACAAATAAGTCTGTCTTGGAGTGGGTGAAGCCAAGTTTTTCCTTGGAGGCAAGGGTTTTGAAGCTCGTCTCACATACTTTGGGCATGTAGCCAGGAGGGACCATCCTTCGAGAAGGACATCATGCCTAGAAGGGTGGAGGGACAGCTCAGAAGAGGAAAACTCAGGATGAAATGGATTGATACATTATCTGGGGTAATGAAGGTAGGTGTGTCAGAATCAGTGAACTGGCTCAGGACAGAGCAGGCTTCAGAGCTGACGTACACAGTGTTGCTATGAGTTACAGTTGACTCTATGGCACATAACAACAACAACAACAGTACTTGTTAATATCTTCGTTCTATTTCACTGATGAGAACTGAAGAAAGACAGGAGACCCATGAACAAATACTCTTTCCTTTCTTTGGGGAGGTGGGTAATGTTTTATGCTCTAAGCCTAAAGAATCTTTGAAGGAAAAGGGATCACAGATTACCAAATAAACCCATCTTTTCAGGGAGGAGGAAGATGGAACCCAATCTCTTCTTGACCTAAATAAATCCCAGTCTGGCTCTGGGGAAACAGGCTCTTTGATAGATTCTTCTTCCCATTCCCCAGCATAAGCTAGTCATTATTCTATAGAGACACCTTGATGGGGAACAGATAGAAAGGTGAATTTTAGGTGATATGATAGGTCTGAATTCACTGATAGGCAGAAGCTGAGGACAAGAGGAAGAGATGAAGACTGGAGCGTACAATGACCTACCGGAGTACTGAGAGAGCCAGGAGCTGGGTGGTCTGGAGGGTCCATGCTCAAGTGACCCAGGAGGGGCTGAGGAGCTGAGCCCATCTGAGAACTATTTCTCCAGGCAGAGAAGGGGGAAAGTTTTGACTGGGGCAATCTGACAATACTGTGGTGCATTAAATTCAGGCAAACAACTACATCAGGGTTACAGATTTAACTGAACAGAGAGTAGCATCCTGAGGCAGGAACTGTATGGATCTAAACCCCAAAAAGGAACCAACGGCAGAAGCCGATTTTGGGTCACAAAATTGGTCAGCTTTGGCTAACTCTGCGGAAACAGAATAATGCTCCGTTAGCCCACAGCGAGATGTTTCAGGAGTGAAGGGATGGCTTATCTAATTCTTTGCAATTGAACTCAAAGATCCACCCACACTGAAATCACATTTTCCAGAATAATCAGCTGAGCATGAACGGCAGAGACATAAAAGGGCAAGGCCACAGGGCCCAAGGTCTTGGTCTGAGAAGACCAAAATCCCAAGAGCAGTGAGGGTGGAGAAGGATGCGTTTTTGTGTGGAAGACAGGGATTGTGTTTTCCACACAGACAGACACCAAAGAGCACAAGTACCCTCCACCCCCGTGGCCATTCTTTCATGATAAGCACGTGCTTTTCCACTTCAGGAGAGTGACAGTAAATGCTGATTTTCCTCACTAGTTAGCATTCCCACAGCGGGGAATGAAGTTGTTATTACTATTGCTGGGGAGGCAAGAATTCAAGCCTGCGATAAGCTTAAACGATAAGCTAATGGATTTTTGCTTTAATCAACATATGCTTAACACTGATAAAGCTGGTTATGATTGTTTTTTCTCTAATTACTTTACATAAACACATTACCGCAAAGCAATATTAAAGGAAAGCATTCTTAAAGAAACTGGAGTCATTAAAATGCAAAACTTTTGTGCTGCAAATGTTACCACCAAAAAGGTTATAGAGATAACCATGGAATGAAAGACAGTATCTGCAAATTATGTATCTGATAAAAGGCTGGTATCCAGAATATGCAGACTTTCAACTAGATAATAAAACAACAACTCAATTAAAAAAACCCGTCAAAGGATTTGACTAGATGTTTCCAAAGAGGATACACAAAAGGCCAGTAAGCACATGAAAAGATGCTCTAGATTAGACATTAGGAATATGTAAATCTAAATTACAATGAGATAACACTTAATACCAGGGCTTCAAAGAGGTTCCAAATCAGGGCTGATGATGGAAACAAGCACATCTTAAGCTTGGCATAGCAGCCAAACCTCTTGACCACTCTGTAACCTGTAAGTTAAAATTCTACTAGACGGCACCTGGCAACAACATGGAGATGGTGAATGGGCAGTAGGGGGTAAAAGACAGGGACTGAAGGTCCCTATGCTTCACCTGGGAGGGGTAGGCGGCAGTAGGAAAACCTTAGAAATGCATCAGGAAGAATTTAAGAACACAGGTATATCAAAGAGGTGGAAGAATGACTTGTGAATAATGAAACCATTCCCAAGGTGAGATTTCAACAGCATAGCTTGACTATGTGCCCCAAGACAGCTCTATTGGCCTCGTGGTAAAAAGCTGTGCTGTAATCCCAAAGGTAGGAGGTTCAAGTGTACCAGCTGCTCTGTGAGAGGGTGGGCAGTCAATCTCCTCTCATGTGATTAACTATCTCTGAAAATCCACTGGAAGGTCAGCTATGAGTTGGTTCTGACTAGAACACATCACTATGGTTCTGACTAGTACATATCACTATGCCCGAAGGAGTCACTACATGATATAAAGAATTAATGCACACAGCTGTTAATGAAAAGGTTGGAGGTTCAAGTCCACCCAGAGACATTTCAAAAGCACCATCTGGAGATTTTCTTCCAAAAAAATTAGCCACTGAAAATTCAACAGAGTAGAATTCTACTCTGACACATCAGGGTTCACCATGAGCTGGGGTCAACTTGATGGCGACTGGCTACTGATATTATGCTACAAAGATCCTAAGTAGAGTGAGTCCTTTCTCCCACTAGTGGGGTTTAGTTTTACGCCATGAAAACTTACTTGAGCGTTCACCACGGGACGCCAAGGGATCCAGGCTTTCAGAGGAAGATGTAAACAAAGCGATTCCCATGGAGCGTTCAAAGTCAGGCCTCTCACCCAACGTACTTCCTGCAGACTGTGGAGCAGACTCAGAGAATTGGGTGAAAACTGAAGAGTTCACAGCTTCAGGGGCTGAAGTGGAGCTTCTGGTCTCATTTACAAACACGCTGCTGCTGTTGGTCGTGGACCAGCGTGCTGGGCTCTCTCCTCCACCTTCACTGGATGGCACAGATTTAGACACACTCTCAGTCTGAGAAATGGAGCTTCCAATGCTTGTGGCAGAGCTGCTGACAAGAGGGTGTCCTTCCAAGGCTATGAGTTGTCACAGGAAAAAAGAAGAACACCACCATCACATCAATGTGAAAGAAAATCCTCAACAATTGGCAAGTGATTCCTATCTAAGAAGACGTCATCCCCTTTCCAAGGAACTCAGTACAGCACTTGTTCCATAGACAACCAGACAGTATTTTCACACTCTACATAATGATTTCAAAACTCTCCAGTGTCAACAAGAAAACAATACTTAAATAAAAGGGGGTGAAGCAGGAAGTTGGAGCGCAGGGCTTTTTAAAAACATGCACAGTGGCAGAGTAACTTACTTGAATGTTTCATTGAGGGCATCATTATTTCTAACAAATAGGAGGTGTGAAAATACAGTGCACCATCAGAAGCACTTTTCTAGAGCAGATCTAATATTCGAAAACACTATTCTTATTATAAAATAAAGTCAACTATAGGAGTAAGAGGGAGCTCTCGTGGCCTAGTGGAAAGAAGCTGCAGTGCAATCCCACAGGCATGTGGTTTGAATCCACCAGCTACTCTGTGGGAGAAGGATGGACAATCTCTGTGTGAGTAACTGCCTCTGAAAACCCACCAGACGGTCAGCTATGGGTCAATTCCAACTCTACAGTGCACACAACAACACAGGAGTAAGGAGCTCGGGTAGTGTAACATATAAGTATCTTGCTACTACCCTAAAGGGTGGTACAGCTCAAATCCACCCACACAATGACTTACAGAAACCACAGAAACCTGAGGGAGGGTCAGTATGGGTCAAAACTGACTCTGCGGCAGTGGGCTTAGTGGGCTTTCTTAGAGAGTAAAAATCCTTTGATTTGGGAGAGTATATATATATCTTTTGTATTTATTAAAATATCTTTATATACAATTCATGGAAGTTCTGGTAACCTAGCGGTAAGAGGCAGCTCTGTAATCCCAAAGGTTTGCAGTTCAAATTCACCAGCTGCTCCATGCAAGAAAGATAGGCAGTCTCCTCCTGTGTAATCTATGGCCTCTGAAACCTGCTGGAGGGTCTGCTGTGGGTCAGTTCTGACTCGCTGGTACCCAACAACGTATATGGTTGATGTGCAAAGATGATCCATACACAAAATAACAGATCATTTTAAAGAGTGAGTCAACTCTCACTGTAAAGATAATGCTGTGAAGTGGAAAAAAAAATTGGAAAGCCCCAAGGCCAAGGGACCAGTTGGGTCATCAGTGAGCTGACTAAATGTGGACTGAACTCCTTTGGGCTTTTGTGTTCTTATTATAAAAAAAGTGGGAAGAGGGATTCCTGTTTGACTGCCTTATGGTACATTGTTCTCAGAAGGGTGAAATAAAAATGCTATCATTTGGTGTAACAAACAAAGGACCTCGTGCTATTCTAAGAGCACACTTTTCTTCAACGATCACAGTCTTAAAACAAGCTCTTATGGAAATGCAACCATCTAAAACTGTTCATAACAGATTGAGTAAAGGTTGAACACTTACTTGGGGAATCACTTTGCCAAAATCCCATTACGATCTCAGAAGATGTAAATCCAAATGCATTTTCAGTAGATGGTTCAACGTGTTCTTCATTACCCAGATTCTCAGTTACTCGACTGTTTCCTCCTAATTCCTCTGAAGAAGGTGGAGAATGGACTGATGCTGAAGTGGTGGAAATTTTGGAGTCCTTAGGGAAGTCCTCTGTCTCATTGCTGGGACGCAGGCTGACCGGTGAAGACTGGGGCACCCTGGGGACACTGTCGGTGAACGTGGTGGCATCAAGCTTATTCTTAGTCTGACTCTCCAAGGGACTTTTGAAGGCAGTGAAGCTACTGAGCTCTTTTGTACTTTCAGAAGCTGAAACAGAAAAGATTAGTTTTAAAACTCAGAGATTAAGAAAAGCAGCAAAGTAGATAAATTAAAAGTTTATTAGATGTTAGTAGATAAATCTAAGGACTGGGATTCAAATAACCACTAAACACATGAAAGGATGCTCAGCATCTTATTAACCTTCAGAGAGATGCAAATCAGAACTACAATGAGATAGGGGAGCTCTGGTGGCCTAGTGGCAAAGAAGCTGCACTGCAATCCCAGAGGAACACGGTTCGAATCCACCAGATGCTCTGCCGGAGAAGGAGGTGCAATATCCTCCTGTACCAGTCAGATCTGATTTGACGGTACACGCACACAAAATTAAAAAAAAAAAAAAAAAGAACTACAATGAGATGGAATTTCACTCCCATAGGCTAGGCTAAGATTCAAAACAAAAATTAGCAAGTATTGGTGAGACTGTAGGGAAACAGGAACCCTTATTCCAGTTGGGTGGTGGTTCCAGTTTGCTGGTGGGAATGCAAAATGATACTCTACTGTAGAAAACAGTACCAAACATAGACACTCATAAATACAACCCTTCTCAGGTAGTAGGAGAAATGAAGTCTCGATACCGGCCTCAACATGGATGGAGCGAGAAAGCATGTGGAGTGAAATCAGCAAATTGCAAAAGGACAATACTGTACAACTTCACTCATATAAAAAGACAAGAGAAGGCAAGTATATAGAAAATAAAGTTTATCAGTGGTTACCAGGGAAAAGAAAAAGTGGGAAAGTTGGAGGGACAATGACATTAAGTGGTGACAAATACTGAGTAAGGTGATTAAGGGTAGAGTTTCACAACTGACTTGTTAATTGCTGTCAACAAGCTTTCACACCTGTAAAGAGTAGAACTGACCGAAGTTGTGAGATATATATACATATATTTACAGCTCCATAAACAAAGAGTAGCTGCAGAGGCTGCTTATGAATTACCAAAAACCTCATGATATTTGGTTCCTTGGAGATTTCTATTTACAGTTTCACTGTACATTAATCTACAAACATGTTCAGTGTGTGTCCTACCTCGCACGTGCATTAATACCTGAGGTCTTACAAGTTTGGCTAGCACACGGCTATCCAAGGCAAAAAGATAGGCTCTGTTTGCCTCAAGCAACAGAGAAGACAGTAAGGAAGAGGAGGAGATAGAATGTGTGGCCAACTGCCTCTAGAAACAACTGCCTACTTTATCATGAAACTAGCAGAACTGTATGTTGTTGTTGTTGTGAGGTGACATCAAATTGAGCACGACTCATAGCAATCTTATGAACAACAGATCTGAATCAAGTCCTATTGTGTGCCAACCTCACGATCTTTGACACACTTGAGCCCAGAGCTGCAGTCAGCTGCAGTCCACCTGGCTGAGTCTTCCTCTCCTTCGCTGCACTCCACCTTTCCAAGCATGAGGTCCTTCTTCGAGAAATAACCTCTCCGAGCAACATGCCCCAAGTATGTGAGGTGAAGCTTTGCCATCTTTGCCTCTAAGGAACACTGTGGCTGCACCTTCTCCAAAACACATCTGTTTGGGGGTTTTTGGCAGTTCATAGGATATCCAGTATTTGCCTTTGAATCACAATTCAAAGGCATCAATTTTCTGTCATCCTTATTCATTGCCCAGCTCTCAGTAGCAGAGCCAATGATTGAAAAGACTATCGCCTGTATCAGGTGCTCCTTACTCCTCAAAAGAATATCATTGTTCTTCAGTAATTTGGAGAGGTCCCTGACTGCAGCCTTTCCCAGTGAAATATGTCTCCTGACTTCCTGACTGCTGGTACCGACTGTATGGTGCCCAGGTATCATTTCTGAACATTCTGAGTAAAGATTCTATAGGAGAATTAAAAGGAGAATTAAAATATGCAGAAGAGAATTTCAAATTCTTACAGACCTCAGACTTCTTGGAGCCATGCATGTTTACTGGATTTCTGAAACTAGTCCTCAGAGAATATCACTACATCTGAAATAAAAAATTTTTAAAAATCCCCTGAAATCTTCAACAACAGTTTCATTTAACTAGTAAAAAAAAAAATCTGCCTTGAGCATTGTGCTCTTTTAAGCACTATTTGGTAGCTCCAGTGGCCTAGTGGTTAAGAAGTTGTGCTGCAATCCCAAAGGCACACAGTTTGAATCCACCAGCAGAAGGATATGCATGTGATTCATTGCCTCTGAAGTGACCCGCCAGAGGGTCAGCTCTGCATCACACACACAATATGAACTATAGCACGGGATGACAAAGCAAAATATTACAATGAAATGTGCAAGGAGTTGGAGTCAGAAAATCAAAAGGGCCGAACTCGCTCAGCATATCTTAAGCTCAAGGAACTGAAGAACATGTTCAAACCTCGAGTTGCTATAATCAAGGATGCTTT